TCTCTCTCACATTGATGTTTCTCAATGTGAATAGAGGAAAGAGAATAGAGGAAAAAAGAAATAAGAAAATAATCTAAGTAGTAATAAATGTGTGTCTCTCCCTCTCACTTCCACTCCCTCTGAAAATCAATGGAAAAATAGCCTTGGGTGAGGATTAACAACAACAAGAAAGAAACTTAATATGAGGTCCCAGTGCAGCCAAATCCTCATCTAAGAAAGACATCATGACTTTAGTCAACGATAGTGATAAAAGCCCCTACCTTGGATTAGGGGTATACAACTAGGGAAAGGAAAATTATTTCTACACTATTTCTGTTTTCCTTTTAGTGCCTTATACCTAATAAGCAGGGTTTCCTCCCCCTTTTTTCTTTCTTTATTCATGTTGTAGAGGGGAGTGGGAACTACTCTAAACTGCCTATAATTTACTTACGTAGGCACAAAGCACTCTATGGCTACCTTTTCAAAATACCTGTTATACTGGCTTAATGTCTATATTCTCCAGTAACTGTATGATCCACAAGGGTACATACAGTGATGTTTACTACTATATCCTAGAACAGTGCATGGTATTTATCAAGAAAATTTGTAGGATATGTAAATACACAAAAATATTAATATTGGCTATGTTAGCTGATGGTGTTATGTATGTTTTTAAATGTCTCAAATTTCCATACTTTTTAAATTAAGTTAAATAATGTTTATAATAAAAATTAATAAAGGAAAGCATACAGGTAGTTGAATGTTTGCCAAAAAAAAAAATTAAATCCAGCGTTCTTGCCGTAACCGGTTTGGCTCAGTGGATAGAGAGTCAGCCTGAGGACTGAAAGGTCCCAGGTTCAATTCCGGTCAAGGGCATGTACCTTGGTTGTGGGCACATCTCCAGTAGGAGGTGTGCAGGAGGCAGCTGATCGATGTTTCTCTCTCATCGATGTTTCTAACTCTCTATCTCTTTCCCTTCCTCTCAGTAAAAAATCAATAAAATATATATTTTTTAAAAATCCATCGTTCTTCGGGTGACATACCCCAATTACAAGATATACAAAAACTGTATTACCACAGGTCTTTCCTTTCTAATCAATCTAATTCTCAAAAAAAAATTTACAAAATTTTATGGCTTTAAGAGGAGAGACAGAACCAGGTGTTTAAAATACAAATATTTTTAAACATTTATTTTTGTAGGTTTGGGTCAGTGGATAGAGTGCCAGCCTGCAGACTAAAGGGTCCTGGGTTTGATTCTGGTCAAGGGCACATACCTCAATTACAGGATCGATCCTGGCCCTAGTCAGGGCACATATGGGAGGCAATCAATCCACGTTTCTCTCTCACATTGATGTTTCTCTCTCTGTGTCTCTCCCTCTCCCTCCCACTCTCTCTAAAAAAATATTCTCGGGTGAGGATTAACAACAACAACAAAAAAGTGGTAATTACTCAATAAAGTTTATTTTTTTAAAATAAAATAAAATGCAATTATTTTTATATATCTTTTATTATTATAAATCTTAATATTACGTAACTGATAAGTTATTTTCTTTTTTTTTTAAATATATTTTATTGATTTTTTTACAGAGAGGAAGGAAGAGAGATAGAGAGTTAGAAACATCAATCAGCTGCCTCACGCACATCTCCTACTGGGGATGTGCCCGCAACCAAGGTACATGCCCTTGACTGGAATCGAACCTGGGACCTTTCAGTCCGAAGGCCGACGCTCTATCCACTGAGCCAAACCGGTTTCGGCTATTTTCTTATATGAGTTTAAACCAGTTTTCATATCTTGATAGTTTTTACTTGATTCTCAGGTTCATAATACTAAATTTTAGATTACTTTATATTACATTAACATATAAATTTTATATCCTCTGTATGTGGAAAAATTCCCAATTCAAATTCTATCAATCTCTTACTAAGAACACACACTTAGTACTATAGAAACATTAAAGCTCATTTTTATTTACCAAAGGTCTCATGAGCCTACAGAACAAGTTAATGAAATCCCTCAAGAGGATGTAATAGCAAATAATCCCCATTTCCACCTTTTAGATTTTTACCAAGTAACCACCTTCTAAACATAATTTACATATTATATTGTTTACAATTATTAAACATCATGAGTTTAAAAACAGATTTTGAGTTTGAGACAGGGGTCAGCAAATATTTTTCTGTAGAGGTTCAGATAGTAAATATTTTAGGCTTTGAAGGCCACAAGATCTATGTCACAACCGCTCAATTCTGTTATTTGAATAAGTGTAAGGTCATGTTCCAATAAAACTTTATTTATAAAAATGAGCAGCAGGCCCAGTCAGTGCGGTTCAGAGGTTGATCGTCCACCCATGCACCAAGAGGTCCCAGGTTCACTGCCTGGATTATGGGCTGCATCCCCAGTAGGGGATGTGTAGGAGGCTGCCAACCGACATTGATGCATCGATGTTTCTATCTCTCTCTCTCCCTTTCTCTCTCTCTAAAATCAATAAAAACATTTTTTTTAAATGAGCAGCAGGCCAGATTCATTCCTTGGGCCCTAGTTTGCTGACCCCTGGTTTAGAGTATTACACCTTCCAGCTCTGCTCATATAAAAGTAGTATAGATTTTCTCTCTTGCTTATTATTTTAATGGAAATTTCCACATTTAAGCACTATCCATTCATTCACTTATTCTATAGATTTTTACCAAGTGCCTACTATGTGCCAGAAATAATAATAGGTGTTATAAATAAATAAAATAAAATAAAATCCCAACCTCTTAATACTTACATTCTAATAGGGAAATCAATAAATAAACAAGCTGATAAGTACATAATATAATTTCAAGTAGTGCTAAATATGAAGAAAACTAAAGCAAAGTAAAAAGAGTGGGGAAGGAAAGGTGAGACTCTTTGGATAGATCAGGGAGACCTAACAGGAAATCACTTTTAAGTAGAGAATGAATGAAGCAAGTGAACAATGCATATAATATCTGGGGGAAGAGCATTACAGGCATATGGAAGAGCATCTGCAAGGGCCCTAAAGCAGTGAGGCCCAGAAATCAGGATTTTAAAAAGATTCCCAGGTGATTCTAATGTGCAGCCAAGGTTGAGAACCACTGCCCTAAAGAGATTCAGAAAGCTAAGATGTTTGAATAAAGACAAGATAAACCTGGGGGATAAAAGGATCACTGGTAGCTGTGGTGAGAATAGACTGCAGGGGGCAGAAGTGAAACAGGAAGACCAATCCTAAGCTGTTGCATGCATTTCTAAACTTCTAAAATGGTATATAGATATATATAGATAGATATAGATATACATATAGATATAGATATATATTATATAATGTTTTTAGAGAGGAAGGGAAAGGGGAGAAGAAGGGGCGATTAAGGGCGGCTAGAAGAGAGGGAGCGGGAGAGGGAAGCATCCATGAGAAAGAAATATCCATCAGTTGCCTCCCCTACACGCCCCAATAGGGGATGGAACCCCCAACCTAGGTTAGTGCCTTGACCAGGAATCAAACTCGCAATCTTTTGGTGTAGGAAGAACGCTCCAACCAAATGATCCACCCGGCCAGAGCTAAACAGTTTTGAAACACAACTAACAAATGTAAAAGCATAGCAGATTAAATTTTTTAAAATATATTTTATTGATTTTTTTACAGAGAGGAAGAGAGAGGGATAGTTAGAAACATCGATGAGAGAGAAACATCGATTAGCTGCCTCCTGAACACCCCCTACTGGGGATGTGCCCCGCAACCAAGGTTCATGCTCTTGACTGGAATCGAACCCGGAACCCTTCAGTCCGCAGGCCGGCGCTCTATCCACTGAGCCAAACCGGTTAGGGCAGCAGATGAAATTTTAACATTGACTTTCATCAAAGTAAGTGTGACTTTAGGCTAACTGCTTAAGACTCCATCCATGAGCCTGTTTCCTAATCTTTAAAACGGATGCCCACCATAAAGGTTTTTGCAAGGAACAAATTAAATAACATGTAAAACGTCTAGTACAGTTCCTAACACACAGGAGGCCCACAAAAATCAAAAATCATCTTTACAGTCTTATTTCTACACTAGATTCATGCCTATGACTAGCCCTCAGTCTAGACCAGTGTTGTCCAAGACCGCGGTCATTACCACATGTGATTACCGAGCATTGGAAATGTGGCAGGTCCAAAGATATGTGTTTTAAGTGTAAAATACAGACTTAGTGAAAAAATAATATAAAATATCTTATCACTACTGTACATTGATTACATGTAAGGAGATAATACTTTGAATATACTGGGTTAAATTTTTTCAGTTAACCACCTTTTTTTTTTTAACTTGATTTATGTGGCTACCAGAACTTTTTTTAAAAATACATTTTATTTATTTTTTTACAGAGAGGAAGGGAGAGAGTTAGAAACACCGATGAGAGAGAAACATCGATCCGCTGCCTCCTGCACACCCCCACTGTGCCCGCAACCAAGGTACGTGCCCTTGACCGGAATCGAACTTGGGACCCTTCAGTCCGCAGGCCGACGCTCTATCCACTGGGCCAAACCGGCCAGGACCAGAACACTTTTAAGTATATACTTAGCTCTCGTTACGTTTCTACCGGGCAGATACGCTCTCTTAGCCACACGGTGGACTCCCTGACAGGGGTTCAATCCGGCCCAGCCTCCCCCTAATCCCGGCTCACGTTCACGCTCCCCACTCCCACCGCACGGGGAAGCCTGACCATGTAATCGCTCTTAATTTTTAAGTGTGAAGCCCACAGATCCGCCGAGACAACTCGAGATTGTTACCTACAGAAGAGATGTGTCTCTAGAGAAAACCCCAGCGTCCCCTCCCGCGGGCGCCGGTCAGCACTGAGGGGCTGGGGCCTGAGCAGAAAGGGGTCGCCCTTCAGGAGCGAGAGGAGACGACGGAGCCCGCGCCCACGGAGAAGTCCGAAGAGGAAAGCCTTTCCAGCTTGGGGGGCGCGGAGGGAGGCTGGGGGGACGAGTCTGAAGGGGGGAGAGGGGCTGGGCTCTGAGGCGAGGCTGCAGGGAGCAGCGGTACCTTAAGAATCCCCCGCATCTTCGCGAGAAAAGGCCGGAACTCCTCGGGGGGCACCTCGGGGTAGAGCTGGCTCCGCAGCAGCTCCTCGGTCACGCCCGGGTGCCCGTGGAAGTCCTTCTGGGCCAGGCCGCTCAGCAGCCCGCTCAGGGACTTGCAACTCTCCAGTTCGCCCGCCATTGTCATCGAGGCCCCGCCCCCCAACAGCTGAGCGCAGGCCCGCGTGGACGGCGGCCTGGACGGGCCCAAATAGCCCCCGCGGAGGAGGGGCGGAGGCGCAGGCGCAGGCGGGAGCGGAGGTGGGAGCGGGGGCGGGGCGAGGGGGCGGGCGGGGGGCGCGCGGTGGGTTTGGGAGCCAAGTTCCAGGAGGAGCCCGTGATGGCAGTGGCCAGCTCTGCTCTGCAAAACCCATCCCCTTAGAGCAGTGGTTATCAACCTTCCTAATGCCGCGACCCTTTAATACAGTTCCTCATGTTGTGGTGACCCCCCAACCATAAAATTATTTTCGTTGCTACTTCATAACTGTAATTTTACTACTGTTATGAATTGTAATGTAAATATCTGATATGCAGGATGTATTTTCATTGTTACAAATTGAACATAATTAAAGCATAGTGATTAATCACAAAACAATATGTAATTATATATGTGTTTTCCGATGGTCTTAGGTGACCCCTGTAAAAGGGTCGTTGGACACCCAAAGGTGTCGCAACCCACAGGTTGAGAACCGCTGCCTTAGAGTTTTGCAGTCCATTCAGTTCCAGAAGGATCATCTTGCTTCCGCGGATTTCCTTCATCACTGCAGGGCCCATGCAGAGGAAAGAACACTTGGCGATCACTTGAGATAGGGTTGCATCCTATGAAAGTGTCAGTTTAACTTTTGGGTGGCTGCATCTCATTCCAGACCTTACCAGTCTACTAACTGAATAGAATCTATCACTCAGATCTAATCTCTGCCTAATCCTTACCTGTCCAAGAAAATTTAACTATCCCCTGATAACAATGCCTTTGCTTGGACTGTTACTTGCCTTTTTATGTCATTAATCTTTCCAGCTAGATCAGTGCCTCTGATCCAATGCTCCTTTCCATAATAAATATTTTGTCAACATCTTTACTGTCCTGAAATGACATGCATGATAATATAGTTATCTACCCATATAATTTCAAAAATTCCATATATTGTTCACTCATAAAAAGGAACACCCAAAAATAAAATCAAAAATAAAATAAAAGCCCTAACCGGTTTGGCTCAGTGGATAGAGCGTCGGCCTGCGGACTGAAGGGTCCCAGGTTCGATTCCGGCCAAGGGCATGTACCTTGGTTGCAGGCACATACCCAGTGGAGAGTGTGCAGGAGACAGCTGATCGATGTTTCTCTCTCATCAATGTTTCTAACTCTCTATCCCTCTCCCTTCCCTCTCCCTTCTTCTCTGTAAAAAATGAATAAAATATATTTTTTTAAAATAAAATAAAATAAAAGGAACGCCATACTGATAGGTGCGACAACATGGATGCACCTTTAAAACATGCTAAGTAGCCCTAGCCACTTTGGTTCAGTGGATAGAGCCTCGGCCTGTGGACCAAAGGGTCCCTGTTCTGAAAAATTCGGGTCAAGGGCAGGTACTTTGGTTGCAGGCTCCTCCCCGCACTGTGGCTCTGGTTGAGGCTCCTGCTGGAAGCAACCAATCCATGTGTTTCTCTCACAGCAATGTTTCTCTTTGTTTTTCCCTCTCTCTTCAACTCTCTCTAAAAAATCAATGGAAAAATATCCTCAAGTGAGGATTAACAAAAAAATAAATAAAATAAAATAAAAATAAAACATGCTAAGTAAAAGAAGACAGACACAAAATGATAGCAATTATATGAAATGTCCAGAATAGGCAAATCCATACGGACAGAAAGTAGTTCAATGGTTGCCAGAGACTAGAGAAAGGGAGAATGACATTAATGGGTACTGGATTTCTTTTAGGGAGGTGATGAAAATGTTCTAGATTAGAATTATACTAGTAGGTAGTGGTTATGATTATGCAACTTTGTGAATATAATAAAATCCACTGAATTGTACACTTTAAGGGATCTTTCACAGTATGTGAATTATATCTCAATTTAAAAATCAGTATAAAAGCCTAATTGTAATTTAGAATAAAAATAAAAGGACATTTACAGGGAACTCATGCAACTTAACAATAGGAAGATAAACAATCCAATCAAAAAATGGGCAACGGTGCCCTAACCGGTTTGGCTCAGTGGATAGAGAGTCAGTCTGCGGACTCAAGAGTCCCAGGTTCGATTCCGGTCAAGGGCATGTACCTTGGTTGCAGGCACATCCCCAGTAGGGGGTGTGCAGGAGGCAGCTGATCGATGTTTCTCTCTCATCGATGTTTCTAACTCTCTATCCCTCTCTTTCCTCTCTGTAAAAAATCAATAAAATATATTTTAAAAAAAAAACTTTAAAAAAAAATGGGCAACGGACCTAGATAGACACTTTTCGAAAGATGACATACAGAAGGCCAAAAGACACATGAAAACATGCTCAAAGTCACTAATTATACGAGAGATGCAAATCAAAACAACAATGCAGTATCATCTCACACCTGCCAGAATGGCTATCATCAACAAATCAACAAACAACAAGTGTTGGAGAGGATGTAGAGAAAAAGGAACCCTTCTGCACTGCTGGTGGGAATGCAGACTCGTGCAGCCACTGTGGAAAACAGTATGGAGTTTCCTCAAAAAACTAAAAATGGAACTCCCATTTGACCCAGTGATCCCACTTCTAGGAATATATCCCAAGAAACCAGAAACACCAATCAGAAAGGATATATGCACCCCTATGTTCATAGCAGCACAGTTCACCATAGCTAAGATTTGGAAACAGCCTAAGTGCCCATCAGCAGATGAGTGGATTAAAAAACTGTGGTACATCTACACAATGGAATACTACGCTGCGGTAAAAAAGAAAGAACTCTTGCCATTTGCAACAGCATGGATGGAACTGCAGAGCATTATGCTAAGTGAAATTAGCCAGTCAGAGAAAGATAAATACCACATGATCTCACTCATTTGTGGAATATAGAGAACTACATAGACTGATGAACAGGGACAGATCCAAAGACAGAGAATTAGCGATCAGACTATCAATCCCCAGAGGGAAAGTAGGGGAGGGTGGGGGCAAGGGGAAGAGATCAACCAAAGGACTTGTATGCATGCATATAAGCCAAACCAATGGACATGGACAACAGGGGGATGAGAGCATGAGTGGGGAGGGGGAGGTTGGGGGTTAATGGGGGGATGAGGACACATTTGTAATACCTTAACCAATAAAGAAATTTTCAAAATAAATAAATTAAATTAAATTAAAGGAAATTATAATATATGTTTTTCAATGTGTATTTGGGCACAACTACACTAGGTGACTAAGAAGTAGCCCGATGCCTGGATCTGTATGTAGAACCACCTGTGACTTCCAAAAATATAAATACAGGTATGTGTTAGGTCACACGTTTCTCCTTCGGCGACCTAACAGTATGCTGTATTGGTGACTACAGAGAGAGAAAGAAAAAGAAAGAGAGAGAGATGTTGCCACTGTTAACTTGGTCTGAAATGTGAACAATGGTTCGTAAAATTCAGAATAAAAAACATTCTTCTCTTACTTTACCTAGTAATTGCAAACCAAGAATGTTCCATGTATTTTAAAGTCATACTAACAACGCACTGTATTTATATTTATGATGGAGTTAGACTTGAGGTTCAGACAATAACAAACAGGTAGATTTTCACCTACATGAATATCCCCTATACAGCCTGAGTCAGTCCTCCTCTGTTATTGTGAAAATTGAAATACCTCTGTTGGTGTGGTTGAGCATCGAACTATGAACTGGGAGATTCCTGGTCAGGGCACATGCCCAGGTTGCAGGCTCAATCCCCAGAAGGAGGTGTGCAGGTAGCAGCCGATTGATGTTTCTCTCTTATCAATGTTTGTATCTCTCACTCCCTCTCCATTCCTCTCTTTATAAAAATCCATAAAAGCATTATTTAAATAAATCACTACTCTAGACTGCTATAATTAATGTTTATCCAGTGTTTACCTAAAGTCAAGAGGCATTCTTTATAATAGAAAAGATATAAGATATTTCTTCCCCTAAAGCAGGGTGTGGGGCTTCCAGGAGGCAGCTGTCAGTGGCTCTCTCATCACTGATGTTTCTCTCTCTCTCTCTCTCTCTCTCTCCCTCTTCATTCCTCTCTGAAATCAATAAAAATATCTTTTTTTTAAAAAATGAGTCAGCTATATTTGGTCAAACATTTTTAAAATATGTTTCTATTGATTTCAGAGAAAGAAGGGCATATTTTCTTCTGTCTGGTTATCTGATTTTTCTAAGCATCTACAGTGTACATGTAATACCATTGTAATAAAAAGTTATATAGTGAGCCCAGCCTTTGTCACTCAGTGGTTAAGTGTCAGCCCATGAATCAGGAGGTCACGGTTCAATTCCTGGTCAGGGCACATGCCCAGGTTGCAGGTTCCATCCCCAGTAGGGGATGTGCAGGAGGCAGCCGATCGGTGACATTTCTCTCATCAATGTTTTTATCTGTCTACCACTCTCCCAAAAATTAATAAAGATATATATATTTAAAATTGTTTTAAGTTATATAATGAAACATAAAATAGTTATCCTAAAGTGAAACTAAGTTATATAATGAAACATAAAATAGTTATCCTAAAGTGAAACTTCTTTTATTTAAAAGAACGTGTTCTTTTGATAATATTAGATGCTTTCAGAATCTGATAGAAGCCTAAGATACTTTCCCCTCAAAATGCAAATCTACACCAAATGTAGCTTACAACATCTAGAGGTTAATTTAACCCTCTGAAGTGTTTTATAGACCTCCTAGTTTTACACTTGTCCTAAGAACCCCTTCTCAGTACTCCCAGTTCTAATTAAGCCTCATAGGAAATAGATTACTCTTTTACAAGCAGGGGGGTGGGGAGGCAATCCTGTATATCACTATCATCATCTAACTCCTATTCCAATGTATGTAATACATGAACATATCACTGCCTGTCTGAGCCTACAGCAAATTCCAAAACACCAGTGATCACTAAAATAAAATCATCCTGTGCCACCAGGGGCTGCTATTGCCAATGTAACTGTTCGAGGTTGGTCACAGCCGCATTTTCAGAATGCATTTGTAACAAGAGG